GGGAGGGGGGGAATGAGTCACAATAGGAGACAAGTGACAAAAACATAAATCCTTGTCGTCTGTCGTCAAACACGGGCTGTGACTGTCTCAGGAAGCAGCTCGCCACCTCAGGGCTGTCTTGTCCTATCTCCACAGGTTTTTTTACATTGAAAATGTGACATCTCCTTAAGCTCACTCTTTGTTATGAACTGTTTTCACTGCAATTAAAGATGGAGATGGGACAAGAAAGCACTGAGGTCTCGGGCTGTTGGATTTCAACATGACATAATGGGTTCCCGACACAGCCCAGACACAGCCCAGACATAGCCCAGACACAGCCCAGACACAGCCCAGACACAGCCCAGACCTTTCTCCTTTCTCTGGTCCACGATACTTGGAGAAAAAAAACATAAATAAATAAATAAAAAGCACAGGCTCACCTAACATCATACATAGCAGTTGGACAAACGACCATTTTTCTCTCAGCTCATCAATGGTACAGATAACAAAAACCAAGCTCACTAAAATCTGACAAACACATCAAACAAAAATTATTCCTTCTCAACCAAGGGGCATTATCATGCCAACGGAGCAATAAATAAAATACTCTCTCTCTCTCTCTCTCTCTCTCTCTCTCTCTCTCTCTCTCTCTCTCTCTCTCTCTCTCTCCCACAACAGAGAAGACGACAACTCTGCCGTTACAAGAAAAAACCAAGAGAACGTATATATATTCACTGAACATATATTTTTAAAAACACTTAGAATTCTCATTTAAATAAAAACTTTTAAAAGTCAGACCCAGATTCAAATAAATCAGATTTTTCTTGTAAATCGTAGCAGTAAATCAACATGGTGACTATCTCAACAAGTGAATACAACAAAAGCTGTAACTGTAAGCTGTCTGGATCACTACAAAACACAACGGGACCCATCTTTCTTCTTTCTTTTTTTTTACGCAGCTGATTTTTACGCCCTCCACAACACAATTAGATCTTATAGGAGGCGGGCTTCTGACCCTGAATGTTAGGGTCAATTCAGACTAAGAGGGATACAACATCCCAGCAGAAAGGCCGAGACACTCAATAAAAATTAACCCCCCCCCTCCCCCTCCCCATTCAGGAATCAACCTCGGGTCTCCTGCGTGCCCCAACAAAGCACCCTACCTCTACACCACACACGCCGGTACTCGACGTAAGACTGGCACCGCTGGAATGGACAACAACATGGAGTTACCACAAGACCTGGGTCCCCACGGCACGGAATGAAGTCAACTAATTGGTGGACACCAACACTCAGAGCCACTGGAATGGACAAAACACGGCCTGAACAGGCTGAACGGGCGTCCCGCCACTGGAATGAACAAACAAACCGTGCAACAAAATAGAATCAAACTGACCACAGAACTGACCACAGAACTGACCACAGAACTGACCACAGAACTGACCACACGCCCCCCAGGACTGGAGACAAACAACCCCCAAGTAACACTGAGACAAACTGAGTTTTTGTAGTAAGATTTTTACAGCACTTTGCGACACAAATAGGTCACACTACAGGTGCCAAAGATTAGCGGCGTTACGACAAAGAAAAAATGAGGAGACAAGGAAAATAAATAGGAAAGAAGGGGCAGACCACACAGGAGCACCTGCCAACCACCCGCGACTAGACTCAATAACCGGCTAGAAGCATGAACAATGAACACTTATCTAAACAAAACAACATTTCTACAGATATCTCCAAGCTCATTGCTCACTACAAATGTGGCAGACGCGGAGGAATCAGGATCTCCTCAATCTTTGGGAACTCGGAGTTGATGGTATCATCTTAACTCTACCTGTGGGAAAATGCCAATTCCTTGACTTTCATTGTTTTGACGAGCGCCTGATTCCACTACGCTGCCGGACAAATGTAGCTTCAAAATGTCCACAATGTCCACACCACTTGTACGTGCCAGGAGGAGATGGGCATGAAGAACAAAAACCTCCCATCAGATGGAGGAAACCCCCCCCCCACATACATACATACATACATACATACACACATAAATAAATAAATATTCTGTGACAATATAACATCACACATATATATATAAAATAGATCATTGCTGTTGCAAGAAAAATGACTAATACCAAAATGCTTTTTGCTTACAGCGTGTAACACAGGACACACTCACTGTCGTACTCACTGTCGTCAACAGCTTGTAACACAGGGACACACTCACTGTCGTCAACAGCGTGTAACACAGTACACACTCACTGTCGTCAACAGCGTGTAACACAGGGACACACTCACTGTCGTCAACAGCGTGTAACA